ATTGTTAAAGTATTAACCGTGTATTATTTGAAATATTTTGTTTAACGATTGATGTATTTAATTTCTGTGTAAGCATTTATTGAGTCTTTAATTGTGCCAACAATTGGTCCCACTTCATTGATGATGTCCAGTTCCACTAACTAGTCCAGGAGACCTATATTTGTGGTGTACTATAAAGGGCAGCGTTGATTTCGTCAATTGTGGCATGTGGAGCTTCCTCTTTTTTATTAGAGAAACGGTTTGATTTTTTTAGATACCTTTCTTTTGCTATGGATATGCGTATAACATTCCTCCGCTAATTTTAAGATGTCATCTCGATCGTGTCATGGTTCAATCTCTCTCCCAAAGTTTATATTATTTATAAATTTTCAATCAACCTACTTTTCTGCCGTTATACTTCAGTCGCAAGCCATGACGTCTTCAATAATTTTCATGTCGTCTTCAGGAAATTACATTCTTACGAAAATGTGCCATCATTCTGAGCCAACTATTAAAACTACAGATTTGGACCCATTCATGATATTTATTGGTATATGCTGTACTTACAGATATATTAAAACTCCTCTTGTTAACAACAGTATTGTACCTGTAGTTGTCATTGGCAAACATTTCATTGTTCATTGCTGTGTCACGCAGCACGAACCATTGATTGTAAATCTGACTCATAACCATGCAATCTTTGAAAGCGGAGTACATGTTGCATCTGAAGTGGATTAGACCCAATAAACGGTACACCTAAAAATATCTGAAACCCCTCGGCATCGGCGGTGTGTGGAGTACGGACGGCAATGGCACTACGACGAAAGCTGCCTTAATTGCATTGCCGCCAAGTCCAAGGGAGCTTTTTATTCCTCGCGTGGCGTGTGCCTTGAATACCAATGTCCTTATTACAGTAAGTGCAGTGCGTTTCCATAGCAATACACGGGCCCCCGGCAATGCGCGTGATTTATGTTGTTTCAAACAGTGTCATCCGTGTTGTGTCTTTGAGTCAATATGCCACCATCGTCTTCAACCTGGCCTGGCTTGCCAGAGTATCCCACTGTTCTAGTTGTCCCCGTTGTCAGATCCTATATGCCACGACGGCATTGCCGTGCGACGTGAACGACAATATCTGAAAGATAGCGGCATTGTAATTGGGGAAATGTTGAGGATGACAGGATGGAAATCCACAGTGTCTCCAAATGAATGGGCATCCTTCCAGTTAGCCGGCATCGTGCTGTGCAGTGCAACGGATCGCATGGTTCACTTTATACTTCATATGATCCTTACGGCGGTACCCCAGGGTACCAAATAATACTAAATGGCCGAGGCAATTAAATGTTTTATTTCTGGGACACTATTTTTCCCAGGGGTGTCCTTAACTCCGCGACTGGGGTACCAATCAATCTGAAATCAGTGCCACTCCGCGATGTCGAAACGCAGCGAGGACGATTTCGCAGAAACCCTGAACGCTCGTACACACCGCGGTGGTGGTGCATCGTGTACAGCTCGTCGAGATGAGTCGATTGCCACATCGCCGACCATCAACAGACTAAAACTGACTGCGCAATAGTGACATCCGCACCACAAGAAGAAGATCCTGGATTTAATTGCCAAATTTTGGCGCCTTTCTGTGCGGAGTTTGGATGCCATTCCCCTGTTCTCCGGCTTACTTCTTAACCCCCCCCCCCAAAGACTATAACTGGGATTGGTCAAACATCCCAGTGCTGAAAAATCAACTGCAAATCACTAAATGGGAATTACACGCAGCAACACTCAATAGGACCCTCCTGGAAACAAACCTTCAGAGACTGAGCTCGGCCTTCCCGGCTACACAAGTGTCAATTAAGACAAATCGCACCCGTGAAAATCTCACCTCCGCCTAACGGTGGTGGTGGTTACGAATGGGTTGGTGAGCAGACGTACACACATCATGCCCAACATGACAACAACTATAGGCCTCGTGCAGCACGATGCCTATTTCGGCCTGAGATCCATCAGCAGCACTTACATTCTTGAGCTGGTTAACCCATCGCGGCGGCTGGAAGGGCAACTGGAGTGGGCGTTTATGGTGTTTTTGTGATTTGTCGCGTTCATTGAAAATAAGGGGGTTTCTGCAGCTAAGCACTACAGAAAACGCCGGCATGCATGTAGCAGTAATAGAACGGCTGTAAAGAATGCTGGCGACCCCGATGCCAGCCGAATGTAAACCATAACAGCATGTGTTACGAACAATAACTTTTTTTCAAATATCAATTTCCCCCGGCTTGCATGAGGAATAATAGTCACTGACCTTTTGCAATGGTTTCTTTTACGCATTTTCACTTGACCTTAACAGTATGTGAGCACAATTGGAATACCTCACATTTTCAAATGTGGAGCTGCTTTCATCCCAGTATAAATCATCGGCAGAAGTCATGATGATTGTACCACTTATAATTTTCATGAAATCATCATTGCAACTGAAATTTGAAAAATATGCCTCGTTAATTTATTTGATTTATTGAAGTCTGGTACAGACTCACCTTGCAATTTAGCAATCATGGGAGACTTCACAATTGTAATGATCTCATGTTAGTTAAATGCGATACCCCAAATATATGAAGACTGGTTTTATTCTATAAAGCTATCGTGTTATATCAATAAGGCAGCACAAACTAAATATGATTCGCACGTTTACTTTAAATATACTGAATATAAAACCTAATACAGACCATCAGAATCAGAAAATCTGTATTTTTACTGGATTAATCCGATGAGCTCTAAATCTCTTTTTCACAGATGTCCAGTCGGGCCAGGTAAGAATGTTACAAAAACAAGATAGTAGTGCAAAGTACAAGAAAGGTAAACATGAGATCATTACAATGGTGAAGTCTCCCATGATTGCTAAATTGCAAGGTGAGTCTGTACCAGACTTCAATTAATCAAATAAATTACCGAGGCATATTTTTCAAACTAAACCATCCCCATACGAAGCCTACTGAGGTATTAACTCGTTTTTCAGAAGCGACCTGGCCATAAATAATGATAGCTCAGCAAAGTGGCTTATCATATGGACATTTATAGCACACATTGGCTTGTTAAAAATAAAATATCCGTGAAGATGTAAATTGCTTGATGAATGATCGTGATCCTCCTCAGCCATGATCTAGCCACTGCTGGATGAAGGCTCCCCGCGTTGTCGTTATGCCTTACGATGCCACAATCCGTCTTGAACCTGCGCAGGAGCTAATTGTATGGCTTTAACTCCGCGGGAATAATCCTGTCAGTCACGCCGTCTCTCCTCCGGCTGACATTCCATCACCAGCCTCGTTCACCTTCCTTTAAAAAAAAAACCCCAGTATGTGTGTGGACAAAATTTTTTTTTCTCGAATTTCCCTTTGTGCTTTGAACCATGTGATCGTTTTCCTGTCTCTTCGTGCAATTCCCAGCATGCATCTCTGCACGCTGCTTTGCATAGTAAGCAGCTTTTGTTTCATTTTCCATTTCAGTTGGATAAAAAGTGGAGAACGAGAGCGATTTGGAGTGCGTTTGTTGAAGTGAATATAATTTGATAATGAAAAGCAACATACCGATGTGTACAGGAAAGAACGTTTTAGATTAGTGCTTATTACCTGCTGTAATACGATCAGCAACCTGGGTATTTAAAAAGATACGATTTAAAAATTACAAACCCAATTGAGGCTCAACTAGATAAAGATTATGATTGTATTGTTATTTAAACTATAACTTTGACCTGGAACCTGTACATTTCCTAATTACCCAACTTAAGAATAATTACTTTAAAATTATAATTATATGCAACCCAAAAGGAAAAAAAAATATTGTCACATGTATCAGTATTCCCTGCTCTGATCTTCAAATTGTTGGATTCTTAGCCATAGGGGGTTTATGAGGCCAACATGTCGCTGCTGATAACTCTGCTATGAAATTGCAGACTACAGGAAAGGGAAAGGCTCATACAGCTATGACCTCATGCCAGTGCGCATAGCACATTTGGACACATTTTAAATGTTAAACTTTAGAACGAGGGACTAAGACTGGTTTGCATTTTTTTATTTCCATTTCAACCTATGCCTACAGGTCACATGCCAAACACGGGTGGTCGGTCCACGGCAAGAAAACTCAAAACATTGAAGGTGATTGAGTGCAGTATTTGCGGAAACGTGGGGGGTGGGGGGGGGAGAAAAAAACAATCCAATAGAAAAAAAACAACAACAGGTTAATGCAGCTCAATGATTAATGAACCATTCGCTGTTGTCGCCACCACTCGTGGTAAAGGGCCTCTCCTTGCTTGCCCTCTGCTCCTTGCACGTGTCGCTCCCCTCCTCCTTCTTCTTCTTCTTACAAACGTGAGAGATGTGCACGAGCGCCATCCACGAGTTGCGACAGCTCAGAAAGATTGATCAAGCGAACAAAATGGCCACAACGATGTTGGCATGACAGTACGTGTCGTCGCTGTTGTTTTCCTCTCTCTCTCTCTCTTTGTATACTTTGTTTAGTTTTAAACAATTAAAATACCTTCAACTGTACGTGATAGTAAAACATTCGCATTTTAAACGATGTTCGTACATAATCATGTCTATCCTGCTCTAAGTAAGACAATTGCATCTGGACTGGCCTCTTCAGGAAAACACAACGCTGCAAGTATATCGCACAGGATCTATAGAATACTGACATAAAGAACGTGTTTATGTTGTTCACGATGTTTTACTGCTGTGCGAACTTCATTAGCACCCAGCCATGCAATTGATGGTCACATGCCCATGACAGAGTCGCTCTCCATTACTTTGTAGCATTTTTTTTACTTCTTCTAAATACGACGCAGGTGACACGAGGCGATGCGAGCAGTGTGAGTGACATTATCAGATCAGGAGTTAAACCTGTGGCATTCCCACAGGCATCACCCGTGGGGGCGTGATGCTATAGCACGGGTGGTGGTGGTGGTGGGGGAGGTTCTGAATCGTGGCGTGGCCATGCACACAGCATTGGTAAACACAAGTGGTTAAATATAGCAGCAGCAGCCGCAGCAGCTCGCGGACAAAACGTGAGCCTTCAGTCCTTGGCGATGCGCTCGGGATGTGCCAGAATCTAGTGGGAGAGTGGCTCCGAGCAGAAAGTGCAGCCTCCCTGGGTGAGCCTGCGCTGCTGACAAGTTGGGATCGCCTGTCGCAGCATTTCCCGACAGTCTGAGCAGCGATTGTCCCTCTCTCTCTCTCGTCCTCTGGCGTCGCAAGCATCTCAAGTCTGCCTATTTCCGTCCCAGCTCTTCGTTCGGCTTGTTCTTGGAAACAAAGACGCTGGATGTAATTGGTCGCACACGATATTTTATGGCAAGGTAAGCGCTGGATTTTTTGTTGGTATAACATAAGACATATCGATCGATGCGTTGTGGATTTCTTGTTGTAAATTCCGTGCGACAGGGAACTGCTGTGAATTTGGTATAAACCCACGCGTACATTATGCGAGGCACGATCTTTGAATGAGTTGTCACGCCGTGAGAATGTTGCCGTCTATGGCCCTCCGTGAGACCGGTCAATCTGTCCACGGGGGCAGGGGGAGTGCGGCTGAAGGGCGCCGAGGTTTTCTGCGGAGCAATTTTGCATCGCTCATCCCTCGAATGTCATCGTCCAGCGCCGTCGCCAAATTTGACATTTTCTCCGATTTGTACCTTTAAGTTACACACGTGACTTTTTTTTTCTCAAATCGGCGACTTTAGCTGCTCAATGGCTAACGTGTTGAATCCGTGTAAGCTTGTACAACGAGGTGTTACAGCACGACACATTGTATTGGAAACTCACATATTGCAATGAATATAAAGATCTATATCACAACGAAAACCTCAAGCAAAGCACACTCGGCGTGCCGCACATGGCTGCACCACAACGCACAGGGACGCGCACAAAAAATCGCGGACGGGGTGCAGCGGAATTCTGCATCGACGAAGCGACGACGCCACAAACGTTACGAGCAGCGATGGTCATCGACGAGGATGGGTTCAACGTCAGGTTTCACAGTCGGCTGCGGCAGAAATGAGTCAATGATGTAACCTGTGTATTCTCATAGGGCGTTGCGTTTCCTTTCCGTGAATTGTGGCTAGAATGAAAGTCTCCGTATTGCGGTGGAATACAGATGCACGTCGTGTGTTGGTGGAGAGCATGGCTGGTGCACAGTTTGTCATTGTGGGAAACAAAGAGAGAACGTCAATTGAACAAAGTATTTGCATCATAAAAAAACGTCCACAATTAAGCATGTTTGTACACGAAGGCTACACGCACACACTACAAGTAGGGATTGATGGCGTTGTGTTGCTGATCTTATCACATCTGCATGGAAAACCTCAAAATAATTAACCCTCCAGGAGCATGACCAGCACGGATAATGTGTACGCATCACAACTATGTTCAGTGACATCCACATGTGGCGATGACTACCTTGCAGTCCATGTTTACAGTGTAAGAGTGTAAGTCTCCTAATTATTGCCAGTTGTAATGACATGTGCTTTGGAGCGAGTTTATTCTATTCCCGTTTTACTAACCCTGGATATTCATGAGAAAGAGACCCCCATTCCTGTATTATTTCAATTGCTTCGTTCGTTTGAAAGTATTATAATTTTGAATGAGAAATAATACTAAATCTAATATGTGGGGTGGAGTGGTGGCGCAGTGGTTAGCGCACCATGTTATAATCCCAGCAACCTAGGTTCGGCTAACATCAGTGTTGAGTGAAATTTGAACCGGACCTGGGCACCCCCTTCACCAACCTGTCCTGACCAGCTTGGTAAAGTAGGGTTGTCAATTATAATGTGAGAATGGATTAACCATCATTATCAGCTGTGCTCAATCCACTGTTGAACGAAGGCCTCCCCAAGTCGTTCCAGCCTCTCGCGATCTTGCGATGCAACATCCATCCGACACCTGCGCATGAGCTGATTTAGTCTGTACTATGCGTTTTCTCTGGCCGCTTCACGAGCTTCCGAGACACGACGTAGCGTGATCTTCAAGGAGGTGGGCATGGCCGCTCCCTTCTTCCCCAAGGCCAACCCTAATTGCACCTCAATAGGGGCTTCGTTCTCCCGGCCATACATGAGGTGTGTGGGGCCACCCTGTACGCTGCCAAAATACCCGGGACATGGAAATCCCAGTCCGTTTGTGCCTCGTTAACGACTTGACACAGCATAGATGTTAGGGTCCGGTGCAGACGTTCCAGCACACCATCCATTTGGGGATGGTATGGTGATGTTCTGAACTTCTTTGTGCCCAATACATCGCACACTTCCCGAAGCAGCTTTGAGGGGAAATTTCGGCCTTGGTCTGTGAGAAGCTGCTCATGAGCCCCCTTATGCATCACATAGCCGTGCAAAAATGCATCGGCTATGGATACAGCTGTTTGGTCGGGCAATGGCCAGGCCATTGGCCACCGAGAAAAATACTCAACCCCAACAAGGATACATTTATTTCCCTTTTGCGTAGTCGGAAAGGGCCCCAGGATATCGAGCGCGACCAATTCGTTAATGCAGGGGGTTCAATTTTTTTCGCTGGTAGCTTGCGACACGCACAATCAGTGCAACCTTTAATGAAATGGAAGACATCATTAGACATCCCTAACCAATATAAATCTCTTTGCACTGTGAGCAAGGTTTTCCAGTGCCCAAGTTGCATCAGCTTGTCAGCGTGCACTGCCCGCGTCAACCTGCCTCGCAGGCCTCTGGGGACTATGATACATAATCTGCCCGAAACCTCATGCCACCGCATAAGCAACAAACCGGGAGATCCCCTTACAGCAGGGTTTATTCTGATCAAGGTCCACGCGGCGTCGTAAGTTCAAGAGGGAGACATCCTCCATTCGCAACTTGCCCCATTTTGCCCGCGTGAGGCCCAGCATGTCGTCCTTATGTGCGTCTACTACGGCGAGTGGCGGGTCACCTGAGGCCACTACGACCCCAGTTGACCCTCCCCCAAGCAATCTGCACCGGCCCGCACCTGACGAGCATGCACAAAGGTCATTTAATGGCAAGCGCGACAACGCATCGGCATTACAGTGCCTCACACCCCGGCGGTAAACCACGCGGAAGGAATACTCTTGGAGTATTTCTAACCACTGAGAGAGCTGGCCAGAGGAGAACTGGAGGGCTGCGTAATCCGTACGGACCACAAATTATCTGCCATAAAGGTATGGCCTGTACTGTTGGACAAAGTACACTATAGCCAACAATTCTCTACGGGTGACACAATAACGCTGTTCCGCGGGTGATAGGACGTGGCTTCCATATGCAATTACCCTTTCCACCCCGTTCTTAACCTGGGACAGGACAGCTCCTACACCCATGTCACTAGCGTTCGTATCCAGTATGAACGGCAGGGAAAAGTCCGGATAGTCAAGAGGAGGCACGTTGGAAAGGCAATCGCGCAATGCAGCGAACACGGCCTCCTCCTCTTGGTTCTTACCCTTCAAGGTATGCAAGGGTTTAGCAATCGTCGCAAACTGCGGAACAAACCTCCAGTAGTACGATGCAAAGCCTACAAAACTGCGCACCTCGCCTATCGATTTAGGGGTTGGTCAATCACACACACACGCAGTCTTATCCGGATCTGTCGCGATACCCTTCGCACTGACAATATGACCCAAATACTGCACGGAAGTCTGCAACAAATGGCACTTAGCAGATTTTAACTTAGGGTTCGCCGCCCATACCCTAGAGAGCACCGTCCGCAACCGCTTCAAATGCTCATCGAATGGTCGACCAAAGATGATGTCATCCAAATAAATAAGACAAGAGTCCCATTGTAATCCTGCCAACATCAATTCCATAAAGCCGGGGCTGAATGTAATCCCATAGGGAGGCAATTAAACTGGAACAGTCCCTGGAGTGTGCGGAACGCCGTTTTAGGCTTGGACGATTTGTCTAAGGGGAGTTGCCAAAATCCCGACAGTAGGTTCAGAGTGGAAAAAAACCAGCGCCCGCCAACGCGTCCAGGGAATCATTCATACGTGGCAGCGAGTATGCACCTGCCACCGAAACCTTATTCAATCTGCGGAAGTCAACGCAAAAGCGCAGGCTGCCATATTGTTTAACGAATAACATGGGGTTCTCCCCAGGGGCTGATTGAAGATGAAATTATGTCCGCGGCCAACATTTCCCTTCCCGCCTGGTGTACATGTTCCTTTTCAACAGGACTCATTCGATATGAATTCTGCCAAATAGGAGCAGCATCACCCGCATCAATGTGGTGTTGCAACAAATTATAACGCCCGATATCAAATTTCCCTTCACTGAAAACGTCGGAGGACTCCCATAACAACGACCGAAGTTTGGTCCGCTGTGCATGGGACAAATCAGGGTTCTTCTTACATAATTCCTCCATCCATGTCCCCTCTGGCTCCGCTCGCTGTTGCATCGCGGCCACAACCTCAACTGCCCCCGAGTCAACAACCCCGCAGCATGCTGCCATTGCGTGAGCCAACACTCCCCCTGCCTGAACCACAGCCACTCCCAGGCCCACATTCAGGACCTGTAGGAAGGGTTGCTGGTTTCCCCGAACGATTGTCTCAGCCCCCACTAACGCGAGTCCTCAGGTTGCTGTGTTTGATGGAGTCAAAAGGGGTCAGCCAACTGGAGGCGTTTTCGGTAGCGCAGGGGAATCAACATTTGCTTACCTGGCAGAATCTGTATATATTTATTTGCCAAGGCCTGAACCAGGGCATTTGCAACTGGTTTCCCATGTGGGGCATTCAGAAATAACAAACGCTGTCCCAACGGCATTTCAATACAGCGTTGATCTATTAAAATTTTCAAGGGCATCCTTCCCAAAAAATCCGTCTTCTTAACCAACATGGGCCATGACACTTCTAATTCCCCTATTCTCACACATGCCTCTATCCATCCCAAAATGCCCATACTCCCCCCATTAGCCACAACACACGCGTTTCCACTGGCAAAAATGCGATGATCTTTTAGGGGCAACAAATTATAAATAACGTCTGAAATGATGGTAGCCGAGGCCCCTGTGTCAACCAAGACCCGCACCTCTACCCCCTGAATGGAACCAACTATTGCCGATGACCCTGCCCCAGCTGCTACCACTCGACGCGCCAATTTCCTCCACTGAGTAAAGGAATTTGGTCACCCATCCATATTCTGACCCCCTTGTTCGCGTACCCCAACGGGTGAAGGGGAGGCAAGATTGACCGATGAATTACATGACAATCAGGATGTGAGGTGGTGGTGGTACGGGCCAAGTGTCCGGTGTGCTGCGACTTGCCTGTTGGGGCTGGGACGGGATCGTCGGCGGGCTGGTGGATGTCGAGAAGGACGTCGAGGGCTAAACATCACTCTGGCACCCCCCGCGTGATATGTCCCGGTCATCCACACCGGAAGCAGGAGATGGAGGGTCCGTGAGGTGGAGAGATCGTCCTTCTCCCGGGGACCTAACCTTGTGGTGGAGGGGTCACCTCTCCCCTTGGAACCTAAACTCGTGGCGGAAGGGTCGCGTCTCCCCTGGGGACCCAACCCCGAGGTCGTCGCGGGGTGTCCCCTCGCCACCAAAGTCATCCCTGCATCGCCGCTGCCATCTCCCTCTGCAGCTCCGGTTCCTCCTCCACCAGGGTTCGCCGCCCACTCTTGGCTGCCCGGCGGGTCGGCGGGTCGGCATGGCCTACCACCACGCTGCCACCGGGGTTCATCAGGTTACATTTTCATGGGCCTGCAGGCATCTGGTCATCCACAGGGATATCTGTGTCTCCTCTTCGACAATGGGCAGCACAACCCCCTTCTCTTGGGCCAACCCCAACAGCTTCTCCATCATTAAAGAGTCAATCGCCACCGGATCCATACGCGGGTATGCCGCCTGCCCCAGCGCCATCAGTGCACTGCGCTAAGCGAGGGGCGTCTCGGTCTCCCTTTGCCTCCGTTGCAAAAATTTCGGAATGCTGCAAGAGCGTCATCTAAGGCCGTGGGTAAGGCCCGCAAGGCCTCATCCTCCGTCCACTTGACCGAGGAGAACGCTTCTTCGAACCGCCGTTTAAAGGTTGCCCAATCGCCCCTTGCTGCCACAAACTCCCTGACAGGGGGCAGCCTCCTTAATTGGCCCATTGCTGCCCCATCGGGGATGGATCTGGAGCCGCAGTTGGTCGCAAAATTGCGCCCGCTGATCGCGCCCCCTCCCCCACCGGGAAAATGGCGGCCGTTGACCACGCAGTCTCTGCGGCGTGGGCGATGGTCGCCCACGCGGTTATCGGAATCTGACGCGTGGGTTCTTCTTTCTTGAGTATCTCGACATCTACTGACACCAGTTGTAATGACTCTCGGACAACTTCTGTCTTCTTTATTTATTAGGGCGCGTCACGCAAATAACGTACTCTCATATCCTCCAGTACTTAGCTATGACTAGCATACAGCACTTGGGCTAGAATAACACCAGATACTTGGGCTAGGATAACGACAGATACTTGAGCTAGGACAGCACCCAAGCAAGAACCGCATGGAGAGAGCGACGACACAGAGACAGCGACGGCACAGAGACAGCGACGACACAGAGACAGCGACGGCCCGAAGACAACGGCGGCGTGAAGACGGTCCATCCCGATCCCAGGGCAGCCTCGAGCTCTCTCAGCCTCTGCCTTATATTCCCCCCGGCGTGGCCTCGCCCCGCCCCGGCCACGCCTTCTTTCCCGAACTGTCTCAGCCAATCCCGAACATCCCCCCATGGTTCCCTCCTGTAATTATCCCTCGTGACCACCTGGCCACGCACTGTCCCTATCCCCTCATTATCTCCACCCACACACCATCTCTCTCTTTCCGCACTGTCCCTAAACATGTAAACCTGTGACTGGGACTTCTTTGATGCAATGCAAAGTTAAGATTCCATTGGTTACTTAAAGGATTGTGTCAGTGAAAGTAGAAATCAGTAACAAGTGTAGAAATACTGCTCCGCACTGCGGCAAACGCACAGTGCACTGGATTCATAATCCTCAGTCATTACATATGCGTTATCAAAACAACATACAAATGTCAATAACATGATAACGATTTTTTAAATATATATAATTGTGTTAATACATTCGTGTGCACAGACATTGGGTGATGAATTTAACTAATCCGAATTTCATGAAAGAAAACCAGTTTCTGTCGTGAAATCCTGGAATCTTGTAATTCTTTTTACATTCGTGGTTTTGGTATTCACCCATGTAAATATGCAAGGTAATATCCCGATCTCGACTCATTTGTATATTCCTAACACAAGATTTTATGATAGCTTACAATGATGTTGCTGTGAGGATATATTGACAACAAAAAACACAACCGGTGCAGATAGTGCACACACCCACACGCAGCATTGTGGGCAGCGTTAGATTTAAAACACATTACGTATGGGAAGAGGGCTCAGATAAAAATAACCATATCCATGCATCATGCATGATGCCCCTCGTGATGGAAACTGCACTTGGCGTGCGGGCACGGTAGAGGCTGCGGCATTCTCTGCCTTTGCGCGGCGATAAAGCGGCCCGTGTGGGTTTTGACATCACGCGGAGGAGCGGCTTCTCCTCTGTCACGTTACTCAGTGACGTCCGCCGTCTTTGCCGTTCCAGAGCTACAGATGCAGAGACTCAGTGAGGAAGCCGACGCAAGCTCGGATGAGGAGTTTCTGGACGCTCCGGGTAGGTGTACCACGGAGTGGGTGCACGGTACTTTTGTTGCTGGGATGACAGCGCATGCCGCATCCTCCTTCCTCCCTGCAAGCCGCCACCTTTACCGGTCACTGAAGACACGAAACATAACCATTACAGACACGTACAGTGCTTAGTTAAAAGTGTACACGACACAAAAAAACTGTCGCCTTTGCATTTCCTAATCTTATTCCCAGCTGTTGCTCGAGTACACTGCAATACTACCTTGATTAAAAAAATGGATTGTGGTTAACTGAGATTATAAAAATATATATATAATATGCAGATTGTTTTGTTTCAATGGTAGGATGATAAAGCATTGTTGCATTTTTTGCATTAATTATTACGTTCAAAGATGTAACCCATGCTGAGACTCGCCTCCACCATGGGAACTGTGAAATTCTCACCGAAGGAATTTCCACCGCTGGTACAGGGCTGTAAACGGGAGATGAGCACCGCCTTAGTGCTCATTTGAAGCAGATGCTGCAAACTTCTCTCATTGTTATTCCGCTGGCATGACCCAGTGCTGGGCTGGCAATGCAAACCATATCTATAGTTGTAGACACAAGAACTTCCTTCTCCGAATGCCAGAATCCAGCCCTCATCAATGCACTCCAGTCACTCGCTCAGCAGTGATCAGTCACCTCAATACTACCACGGTTATTGTGCCCCTGAATTTCACTTATTGATTCCTCCACCCCATGGTGAGGACTCGATCTATCAGACTGGTTGGTTCGTCGACACTGTGTTGAGCCACCACACTGCAGGTCACGTCAATAATTATCTTTCTAATGTTTTCCTTGCACTGCTCCACGCTGCAATCCCGTCCCATCCATTGTCTCCTTTTCCCAGGCTCTTAGAATAACCTCCAATTCAGGAAACGCGTTGCACCCTTAGCGATTGTGTAGAACTTTCACGGTGGCTGTTTATTGCGGGCAAATTTGCATTTTGAGCACTTGGGCCTATGCTCAGCAACTTTGTAAAACAAAACGAAATGCAATTCCATAAACATGCAGGAACACAGTTCGTTGGCAATACAATACAGCACAGTACACATGAGTGTCATTAGTCACAGCAGTTACAACGAGAGTTAGGACAGGTTTTTATTATCTTGCAAATGCATTAAAGAGCTCGTATGGTCACCACATTAGTTATGCATTGCCACTGAGTTACAATGAATACTAAATAGCAAGCAGAATGAATGAATGCATTGCTGCTCACAATAACCCAATGGGATAGCGTTAAACCAACGTGTGTCTCTGGCTTTTACCATCGAGTCAGCATCCCCTTCACAAGATCGACAAAAACATGCAACATTGCATTATATTGAGTTGGATAATGGGATGAACAATTACACTGAGTGCAGATTTGCATTTACATGAAGAAAATGCAGACGCTTAGATTCCAAAATAAATGAGGGCGTCATGTGAAGTGTACATTCACATTGATAGAGTGAGCTCAGGAGTAATGTCCACAAACTATTGAGATTAGATGTATTATTATCATCATTCATGATTTATCCACTGCTGGATGAAACGCTGTACATGTTGTTATTATGACTCAAGGTTCCACGATGCCACAATCTATCTCGCTTCTGCACATGAGAGGATCTTTTCGCTCCATCACCGAATCAAGAATCACCCTGCCTCAGAAACTTTGCAGGAATTATTTGGGGCACCTCAGCTGATGTGGTGTGAACTGCCACCCAATCACTGATCTACTCAGTGGTAGAGTCACTGCGCTCCAGCCTGGTCCGAAACCTCGCATACAAAACTTCTACACGCACAATTCAATAATGCAATGCGTATATCATAACCGTAACAATGAAAAACCAACGCAAATTCCTGGGCTCCCTTGTTCTGGCGAATAATTCTACCACCAAATATCCACAAAGGTAGTTGACACGTCTTCTTGCCAACGGCAACCATCAACTAAGACCTCAACACTGTCCCTCACCACAGACTCAAGTCCCGATCCCCCGAAATCTGTAATAAACGCTCAAGCGAACAGAGTGGTACAATGCGGATGTCCAGAATAAACACCTCATTCGAGATCCAAACATCGCAACCCTCCTGGCTTTGACATTCCTCTATCAAAGACGCTGGTGTACATTAACCGCATCAGAACATCAACAGGCTTATGTGCACATCTCCTTCATGAATGGAATATGAAAGACAAGCCACAGAAGTGCGATTGTGGCTATGCAACCCGAACTATGCACCATATAGTAAACCACTGCAGTCTGTGGCTCCTTCAGCGGAGGAACAGCAACAACTACACTCTCTCCTGAAACCCTCTCGTGGCTGGCAGACCTCGACATTGAGATTTAGCTCCCGAACTTCTTTGCCATCTTGGGCAGGAACATCGTTACTCCATCTCCAAGGTTCCCGTTCTCTCAAGCATGTTATCTCCTTTGGCTGTCATCCATCACCAGACTCTTTCATCAGCCATCATCCCTTCCAGTGATGCGTCCTGCCAAAACCCATATATCCTTGCATCTGTCCTCTGATCCATGTATTCATCTCTCTGTTTTGCAGTGTAATTCCTAGTATGCAACATCTCTTATCTTCTATTTCTCAGTGTCCGTGTTTCCAATCCATGTGTTACAACAGATGATAACTTGACACGGAAATTCACGTTGGCCTATTCAGTAGCAAGAAACTTATACAATATGAATTATTTTTTAAAGTATTAAACATAGCAATGACTGGCAAAATTTATGAGGCTTTAATATGTGTATTACTTTTAAAAGTTTAGCTTCGATTCAACAATTGCAGCAATGCCTATAGACACACTTACAAAATATAATTCTTCAGATACTTAATTAATCCTTTTTAAAATCCTAATTAAACATGTAATTTACTGTTTAGCATTCCAATACTAGACTATTATAATAAATGGAGCTATACTCTTATGTAATTCTGAAAAGCTCATTCCCTAATTATGTCATCTAATTTTGAGGATTTATAAATCGCAGTGCAGTGAAAACAAGCTGTCCATTTTATTGCGCCAATAATTCATAAACGCGTCGGCAATGGTCCTGTTCATTGCAGCACTGCTTGCTTTTGACGTTGCAGGTGATATGTCCACGATCTCTTTGGAAACGTCCACATTTCCCGAGCAGATAAGTGTGGAGAGCCAAGATGAAGAGGTAATGATGCTTGTCTGGCCCTGTACTTTCACTTTTTTTTTATTTTTCGCACTCCCCAGTCGACCCAAAAGCCATCTTACTGCTCATTTCTAAGATTACAATGATTGTACTTTTAATGAAAGATGTCTGCTTGAAAAAAATGCGGCACGTCTCCATTCAGCCATAGCCCTTTTGGCAGCACGAGACTGACTCTACTGGAAACAGGAATAAAACAGGGACCCAGCGACACGAATCAGACTTCAACGACCCTTTAACAACCTCACATACAAGAATAATAATGTATCGCACATAGCACCATTCATGCAAACCGCATCTTGAAAACTCTTTAGAATTTGTAATCTGCACAATTGTCGCTTGGAGGCATGGGAAAACCATGGACACACGCAGCGAGGTAGCCACATCCTGCGCAACCAACAATTACCAGGTTCTGTGGTCCTATATTGGATGTTTGGCCCACTCCATGAACACGTTTTTTATACTTGTGGGAGGAAACTGGAGTACCAGGAGAAAACCGACGTGCGCGAGGTGGGTAACGCTCAATCGCCGTAGAGATTGAAATTAATCCGCTTGCTGTATTAGCGTACCATTGAAAGTCAGACGATGGCTGTGCTGCACACAAACATTTACATTTGTATGCACGGTGTTACAAGTGACCTATGGGACAGTACCCATTTTCTGTCGCAGGAAGGTATGTCCAGGAGAGGGGAAGCGTGGGCCACGGAGCCTCGCGTGCTGCTGCTGGTGCTGCACGGCAACGGCCAGGAGCCAAAATTCACGGGCGCCCTCGGAGCGCGGTCATCGTCCAGGGACAGGGCGCCGTTTGTGACGGAGGCCAGGTTCGGTCGTTCCGGCAGCGGTGCTGCGGCGCAGGCGGGCGGTGCGGAGGCGCGGTGCGCGCACAAGGACGCTCTCAGCCTGCACTCGGCCATCGACGCCGTGAGCAGGGCACACTTCCCGGCTGCCGTGGGGCGCGTGAGCGTGAGGGCAGTGCCGTGTCCGCCCATCTGCGCCAGCGCCTTTGCCATCCTTACGCAGTGAGCCCTCATCGCTGTCCCACCATTGCTCGCGTGCGCATGTTAACGTTGCAAGTACTGGGTTAACAGAAAGCCGAAGTGAAGGATTTTCCACTCCGTGGAAAAAATCTGTTTCGAGTTTCCGACGGAATCCTTCATCTCTCGATGTGTGACGCTGCGTAATTATAAAATAATTTGGAAAGAACAAACAAAACAATCCTATACAGTGAGTCATTCCAACAATTACTCAGCAAACAGCCCACGCTAAGTGATATTCCATGAAACAAATTTACTCAACACCCATAGTCAATGAACCATTTTATGTAAGTGTGTACGTTTAATGGATTGTCATTCTTACCGTATTAGCTTCCTTTATTTACTGTAGTGTTTGCACTGAATACTATGTCTATTTGCAATAGTTAAAATGACAAATGTGTGTACCTTCACAGATATATTTAGCGGGAAGTACCCGGCGTTGCCCGGGCGAAAAATAAATTTCAAAACTTCTCTTAAAAACATTACATATACATACACAGATACTAAGCTATTGTGAAAGCCTGGTGGGCCGTTTGTCCATTTCTCCACTAACACAATTATAAGAGGCTTGCAGAAGTCCAAAAAGTTATAGAAAGTGGGGGGTAAATAGTTGATATAAAAGGTTTCAAAAAAATGTTGACCCCCCCCCTCAAAAAATATTTTTACCCCCGTGTAGGTATATATACCTACACACCCTACATACAACAAGTTAAGTAGCATCTATTGACTCTGTAGTTGTATCTACTGACTGTACAGTAGTATCGACTGAGCCAGTAGTAGCTACTGACTGTATAGTAGTATTTACTGACTGTAGTAACTACTGACCGCATTAGTATCTACTGTCCCTACAGTCGTATCTACCGACTCTATAGTAGTATCTACTGACTGTATAGTAGTATCTACTGACTGTAGCAGTATTTACTGACCGTAGTAGTATATATTGACTGTTTTAGTATCTACTAAGTATATAGTAATATCTATCAACTCGAAAGCAGTATCTACTATCACTACAGCAGTGCATATCGTCTGCGGTGGTACCTGCTATGATTACAGTAGTACATACTGACTGTGGTGGTATCCTGCTATGACTACAGCAGTGCATACCGACTGTGGTGGTACCTGCTATGATTACAGCAGTGCATACTGACTATGGTGGTATCCTGCTATGACTACAGCAGTGCAGAGTGACTGTGGTGGTACCTGCTTTCACTACAGCAGTGCATACTGACTGTGGTGGTACCTGCTTTCACTACAGCAGTGCATACCGACTGTGATGGTACCTATCATGACAGCAGTGCATACCGACTGCGGTGGTACCTGCTATCACTACTGCAGTGCATACCGACTGTGGTGGTACATGCTATGATTACAGCAGTGCATACTGACTGTGCTGGTACCTGCTATGATTACAGCAGTGCATACTGACTGTGGTGGTACCTGCTATCACTGCAGTAGTACATGCTGACTCTATAGCAGTATATATCGACTCTATAGCACAAAATAATAACTTGACAGAGGTCTGTCGTGAGGCCTAGTCCCGTGCAGAGCCCCCAGCCTCGCCTAGATTGCCCAGCTGGCCGAGGTGGCACCTTGGCAGGCTGGGCCGCTACCCCCGCCCCCCACACCATCCCCCCCACCCGCTCTACAATAATCGTATCTAAGAGCTATAATATTAGTATCTACCGACCCTATAGTAGTAAGTGCACACATTAGGGTGGGGGGGGGAGAAGAGGACATGACACTTTGAAGAATAGACCTCGGCATTGTGTTTATTTCTTTTGCATTTTTAACGCGAAAGATAATTCCCCCCCCCCCCTCCCAACGAACGGTCAACTTTGTCGCGCATGCGCAAATGCGTGCTTTGGCGCGCGCTGAGCGGTGTAATGAAATAAATAAATAATAGCGCTAAATTGTTCATTTAACTACTTTAAAGTTGACGTATGGGAAAATGGAAGAGTGCTGGCTCACCACGGGGCTTATGGCGTGGTACCCGGCTACTTTTTTTTTTTAAACGTCAACTTCACGGTTTGCGAGCAAAATCCTTCGCAAGTTTCGTACACAGACAGACAGACACAGAGACAGACAGACAGACAAAACAATTCATTTATAAGTAAGATTTCACACCAAGGTGCGCGTTATCAAATTTCCAGTAGTGCAGGATAACATATAAAGGTATCATCAACGTGCACTGACCAGCGCGGTGAATTATGGTCAAAATAAAAAAAACACACGCCATGAGGAGTCCTTCATCCGATCATAGATTTATAAAAATAGCTGAAAATAATACTTGAAAGAATGACAGGTGATCTTTCCGGAATGTCTTCGAAATGCATTTCACACTGGGAAGCCTCTCAAGGAGGGGCGCTGCTGCACTGGGATGTTTGACGAATTGATAATGAGATTTTAGATTCTTGCGGCAAGACACCGGAGAGCCCTGAGAAAGCTCAGCACGCAGAGGAGGGGGTGAGGCTCCAAGCCCCCGACAGGGAGGTTCAAGAATCCGTTGCTGTACTTCCATCTTCCTGCCACTGTGTAACGAGCTCCAACACGGGTTACCATATTTTCCACAAAACAAACCCAGACAATATTACTCAGTCTAAGTCTATTAAAACTGCAGTACACGGTAATACAATTCACCACAACACCAGTACCAAATCAATTCCTGCCACCCGAACACCGACGCCAATTCCCGCATGGTCCGGGTGGAACCCTGGAGAGGCGGCAATCCTTGCCCGAACTTTACATCACCCGCTGCTTCCAAATAGTCACCGATCCGAGTACTAATTAGGCTCAACTCTGGCACTGTTCATGAATTTTTTAAAAATCCAGATTGCGGGTGGATACATTGCCCCTATCTGGGGATCACAACTGAGAGTGCAGTCCTCGGGATATAAAAAAGCAGAGCCAGGGAAATCCCTCCATCCCCACCATGACATCGCTGCTTGGTGCACACAGACATGTGAGGGGCCTCCTCCTCTCTCTGTGCAGACTGAGTCCGCACGGCTCTGACGCGAGCTGTGAGCCCAGCAACTCGGCCCCGGCGTCTCTGTCCGTGCTGCCGCTCCTGGCGACATCCAGCCCCCATTACCAGGAGGCCGTGAGCACTCTGATCCACCGGATCAACCACGCTCACCGCGCCTTCCTCTCCTCCTCCGAGGGCACTGCATTTCAAGGGAAGGTCAGCAGATGGCACCTTCATGAAGGGGAGGGAAATATTAGTGGGTTTTAACGTCAAGGGAAGGGATGAGGAATGAAAATAAATACAGGGACAGTACAGGGACAGCAGGTCGCTGGATACGAATGGCATAGAAGGACAGGTACGAGACTGACATCATTGAGAAGTGTGGAGGAAAGGCATGGGAGAGAAGGGGGAGTCAATAAAGGGTGTTTGATGATGAGTTAGCAACCGAAGTAACAGGAGCAGCAAAAGCAAATAAAGGTAAGATCCAATTGAATAAGTACGTGGTATGATGCAAACCGGCCAGGTGGCTCAGCGGTAGAGCGAGCGGCTCACAATCAGAAAGTGGTCAGGGAAGGCTCGTGTTTAAATGAGTATAACGAAACAACAGCAGTGACTTTGGCCATCATGACTTCTTCATCAAAACAATATACTCCAGTGTACAAAGCAACATCATGTGGCAAACCTCCTTCAGGAGTACGCATCGAGCTGGCAATGATGCCTCGGCTGCTACCTCTTTTTTTCCAGCCGCCAGCGCCACGTTCTACTACTGTGGGTTATTGTTTGGGGCAATGACGCGGCCCGGTGATAGCGCGTTCATTGGCTGCTGCAGAGGTTTATGGTTCGAGCCCAGAGGCCACCCTGGTGTATTAACGATGACGTACCACGTGGCATCTGCTTTACAGTGGACGTTAAAAGGTCACGTGACGTCATTCAACAAAAGAGTAGGTAGGCCACTGTGTGCTGGCATCGTGGTATACATTTGCTATATTGTAAAAATTACTCTAAAACGTACTTAATTAAGAAACACATAGCAATCGTCACCCATTACTGAAACGATTTTAGCAGGACCCTCCTGAAAAAAGTCTTCATGAAATAACTAAGAAATAGAACAGTTTCACGATGACCAACATCGCATTGGTGTGTATGCGTTTGCGGTCACATGTTCCGTGCGCATGTCTCCTGGCAGGTGTGCTTGGTGGGAGACGGCGTGGGTGGGATCATGGGGTTCGATGCCCTGTGCTGGAGCAAACGGGCACCAAGCGACAGCTGGGACAGCAGCCGACAGGGAAGCTTTAAGAGCAGCTCGGTACGATAGCTTAGTCTCGCGCTCAAACATGTTTTCAGACAAAAAAAATTACTCTCGCAAATCACCAAGCAGGCCTTTTCAACATACTGTATTTTCACTTTGAGTTGTCAAGAGCACCTAGCCGAGTTTCCTGACATACACTCGTTATGTGCAGCAAATGCTCTTCGTGCAGTGGTTTTGTGCACTTCTCTGTAACCTAGTGACCTGAGTTTGATTCCCGGCTCTAGCTGACATCAGAGGCAAGTTATTTCTAAACTGGTCCTGTTATTCTCCACGAACATCCTGGAATGACCAGAGTGGTGAAGTGTGGTGAAACTATCTCCATGCCCGACACGGCATCCAGCACTAATTAAGTTCTAATTAATAGTAATCCATTTCCACGGGTAACAAAATACATAAGCAAATATGCCTCCTTCCCACATTTATCTCGCCACGTAAATAAAGTATTGTTTACAAATCCCATCAGCCACATAGCCTTCTAGGAGTGCATATTATCCACAATATGGGTTCAATACAAGCACACTATAGACTGGTTCAACATTCAGTGCCTGTTCAGTAGAGTTGGGTTGATTCATTGTTATGTTTGTGTTATGTATTACCAAACGCTTCCTTTGAACAGTTTGCCATGCACGTCACAGTATATAGAGCGCCAGGCATAGGACTTGTACTTTTGAGGTAACAGTGCAGTCGCTTGGTCCATCCTCCCTTGCTGGTGGCACGTAGGACAGTAACCCAGCATCGCCGGCTGGAGAGCCTCTCAGCTGCCCTCACGGCCACCAGGCCCGTGGCTCCCCCCTGGCCAGCAGCCGAGGCCTGAGCCGCAGTGAACAAGAGCTGCTCGTCAACATGAGCGACCTGCCGCCCTGTCGGCTGGAGAGGAAGCGGCCCGGGCCCTGTGTGGCACTGGGGCACCTCCACCTGCACCAGGCCTCTCTCGCCAGGTACGCGGAATGCCACGGTGACGCGACGGCTCAGCGGCTACGTGCCGTTCACGCGATGAACCCTAAAGCCACGCAAGCGGCGGTTGCCGGCCTTCCTAGACCCACGGACCGGACCACCATGCACTCGAAATCGTAGAATCCACATCATCTCCTACTGGGAGAATAATGCCCACTGGAAGGCCAGTGGCAAGTCACATAGTGTAGCAAAAGGACAGCTGCCTTTGAGGGTCCCCTTCGAATATTCGAGACGATATGTGATGTAATTCGCTTTGAGTTGCCAAGGTATCTTAGCAAGTGTCGTTTGCTTGTAAAATATTTTGAATTGTTGTTATTATAATACATATTAGAATGAGATGGGTTGCATGCCGTGATGGAGATGTGACGGGAGATGATGGTGCACCATAGCAGAACTTCTGAGAACACCAAACACATACTGGTACTTTTTAGAATGGTTCCTATTTCTACACTATGATGTTTCTGCAGAGGGGAAATAGAAGCGTGTTCGTGAGTGTTTAATGGTATGCTGTGGAGAGAGTGGTGAAGTTTCCATACATAGGCAATGTGCTTATGACCAGCTCCGATTTTGCAGCAGAGGTCTCACTCTGAATTAGTCGGGCAGCATTACATTTTCATCAGCTGTGTAACATTGTGTGGAAGCCACCTGACCTGTCGTTCCGTGCGAAGCTCCGGGTTTTCTTGACCACAGTTGTGCCCTCCCTTCCCTATGCTTGCGAACGTGGACCCGTCTGAAAAAAACATCTGTGCTGGTTTGAAATATTCAGGTTGGCCTACCTACGATCCATCCTGGGATTAACCAGACTGGATTATGCGAGGAGCTCAGATATCCTTTAAAGATCTGACAGGCAAGGGTGAAATGGCTGGCTCATATAGCCTGCATATCCAGCCACCGCATGCCCAAACTACTTCTGTTTGGCCATATATATGTATGTAGGTATGTTGAACTTCTTTCTCACCGTACATAGCCAACCGTGCTAATCGGAGGAAGCTGAACAGGTGCATCATGGGGAGGATGTGGACCTGAGTGATCTTGACGATAACTGGTAACAGCGCTGTCAAGATCGACCTTTGTGGAGGAGGCTCGTGAAGGGCGCGCATGGGCAGTTGGAGGCAATTTACCTCCAACAACAATAGAGGGCAGAGAAGTGACATTCACAATAATAAGTGGAGTGTATGGTGGCTAAAACGCAGCAAGTAGGCAGTGGGGTCCATACGTGGTGTATCCGTGTCATCTCAGCCAATCAATCCATAACACCTGGGTCTGTTCCGTGACCTCCGCCAGCGAGCCCTCAAAATTTCACGTGGCCTAACAGTGCACCTAGCCTGGCGCATGCACCATGGTAATGTCACCGCTACTTCGAGTGAGTGGCAACTGCTTTTTGACGAGGGAACGCGTAAGTAAGCGAGTGAGTGTCTGTGTGAACACGGGCGGCAGATAGAACATATTTCATACCGACACTTCTACATTTATCGCTGGTCGCGCGGCATGCCGGCTAAAATTGCTGTCTCGTGCGGAGTGTGCATGGCTGCTTCACTCGGGATGAGGTGGAGACTCGGCGATGGAGCAGTTCCTCGGCGACCGACTCCGCCCCTGCTCCCCCTCGCCTCGAATTCCTGGTGTCCGACTTCTTCCTGCTGGGCTCGCCTCTGGCACTGGTGCTCACTCTGCGGCGTCTCGCCCTCCCCTCCAACAGCCGTATGCTCCCGCCCGCGGCGTGCTCTCACGTCGTCATCATCATCAGCCATGATCGATCCACTGCTGAATGAAGGCCTCGCCAAAGGCGTCACCACCTTTCACGATCTTGCGATGCAATCATCCATCTGGCACTCGCACACGAACCGGTCCCATCGCTGCATCCCCGAGGACGTGTTCCATTCCTTGGTTGCCATTTAGTCGTTATTCTTGACCACCGTCCATCGTACCTTCTGGCCGTGGAGTGTCCTGGCCAAGGCCACTTTCCTTCAAAGCTTGAATTATGTCATTAACCTCCGTATGTTCTCTTATCCAAGTGTCTCTCAATGTTATTCTAAGCACGCATATCTTCACGTTTGTTTGCATATTTTTTCCAGTTTTTATGCTATATTTCACAAATGACTATGTTTATGAACCATACATCTCCATTACTATAAAAGGCAAAGTTGTGAATATGTGTGTCTGTTGAAAATGTTTAGCGTACTTCCTGACATGCAACAAACTGGAAATTTGCCATGTTGGTACTTTCCAGACTGTACACCATGCAAAAATTAAAAAAATACACTTTTGTTTTTTTTTGGTTGGGGGGGGGAGCTCAATAATGCATTTATATTTTGCACGGCAAGTGAGCAGTGACGTCAAATCTGTCACGTGACCCGCGCAAGTGAAAGCGTAACGCATTGTAGTGTAGTGGCTAGCGCGCCGCGCTACGAACCCGGCTACCCGAATTCGATTCCCACGGCCACAACTGGTGACTTATTTTAACCGGTCCTGGGCCTCCCCTAGGTCGACTCAGCCTCAAACGAGTAACTGGTGTGGTGTGTGAACATCGCCACTGGGGAGACAAAGGCGGCCGGGCGTGGTGAATCCAAGTCCCGGGCGAAGTCGGGTAGTAAAGCTAGTATGTTATACAAGGTAGCATTTTCACAGCCAATTTTGAATTCAATTAAATGAAGGTGGCCGGTTGGCTTAGAGATTAGAGCACGGAGCTGCCACCGCTGAGTTCGAATCCAGATCCAATTGCCTGTGATGGATTCAACTGGGTTATCAAGTATAGTGAGTCGATGGTGTCAGCTTTGTTGCTTTAGATTAGTGGTTCCTAACCTGGGGTGTCCTTTCTGAGAACCAAAGGGGTGCAGGCTGCAGTAAAGGTTAAGGACCACTGCTTTAGACTCAAGCAGAGAACCATAGACTCACTCACGCAGAAAACAGAGAGAATCGACTCACATAGAGACTTATACAGAGATCCACAAACTTGCATAGACCCACAGACTCGTATAGACTCAAATAGAGTGGATTTGTATGAAGAGGGTACGCACGTTTAGTGAGTTGATGGTCCCAGCCTGATCACCATGACTGCACAACAAAACACATCACATTAACTTTGGTTCTGTACGTAATTTGGCTCAATTCCAGCTATGAGAATTAAAAATATCAGTTGACTGTCACGTGACAAACATGACTCTGCAGCAGGGCTGGTGGGAAATTTCTGCCCCCTAGTTTGTGGATCAGAAATCACTTAAAGGGATTTCAGAAGCAGTGCCGTGATATTTACTTCTATAAACCAGTTTTTAATCATGGAGGTTTGCATCTCTCTGTGAGAGTTCCAAATAAAACCGTCATCTCCTGACATAATCAGCATATATTTTGGGGAAAAGTAAAGAAAGTAAAGTGAATGAGTGAATTTCTAACATCAGGTGCACTCCTGTCCAGATAAAATGTGTACAGTCCCACTTATGTGATTGTGTTTATCAACGTATACAACGTTTCATATACTGGTGATTGGCTCTCCAAAAGGATATTTTGTTCATGAACACAACATTGCATCTTTTGATCCGACCAGAAGGTAATGCAGAGGACGTAGATACTTTTTTACTTAGAATTTGTTTTCTAAGTTCAGGTGATGCAATATGGCTTGGTGCAAAAATCCACTGTAATTTTCATGAGGTTATATAATATTTTCAGAATACATTTTAAGCTAGGATTGTCGATGGGAGCGACAATTTGTCCCCCACCCCCATATTTCAACGAAACCCAAGAATTATTGCTTGAAACTATTTTTCTCTCCGTGCAGTTTCCCAGTTGCGGCCGGCATGCCAGCAGATCTACAACATCTTCCATCCCGCCGACCTGTCTGCGTGTCGCCTGGAGCCTCTGTTTGATCAACGTCTGACACAAATCCCTCCACACAGGGTACCCCGCTACCCCAGCCTGCAGATGGTGGAGAGGCATTCAACTCTGATGGGTAAGGATGGCCTAATCCCAAGTGGGTCACCGTGACCGGTGTTTAGGTCTTCATGGGAGAGATTTGTTACGTGATGTCTGCTCGAGAAACTTTGAATTTTCTTTGCAGATAGCAAAGGCAATGTACGAATACACAACACGATGTAATCATTCATGTAGTTCTGGAGAATATAAATGTAGTGACATCGCGGGCGCCACGTATATGTGGGTACAGTACTGGCCCTAGAGAGGCTTGGTGAGCACTGACTGGCAGTGCTGGATGGCACCACGCTTTGCGTGCAGTGCCGACCCCTACAGGATAGGGTGTGAGAGTACCGGCCATAGGAATGGGGTTTTAAGGGCCATGGCACTTTGGTTGACCCCGAAGGACACGTGACCGGTAAAGTCTCCACAAGGCCCCCAGGTGGGGGCTAGGGGTGGTCACGTGTCAGGGCCGGAAACTTGCTAGAGGAATCCAGAAGGTGGTCGTGGCTAAGGGCGGAGCCAGCCCCGCCACAGAGGATATAAGCCGGGTCCCCGAGAGGGACCGACTGCTGTTGTTCATCCTGAAGAATCTACGTCCTACAAGAGTCACCAACACGCGGACCCGGACCCAGGCCAGGGTCCGGTCCATCATAGCTAATTCCAGTGTAATTAGTGTAGATAGCCTGGTGGTCCACCATCATAGGTTGTTAATGTGTTAAGGGGCAGTAGCCAGTGTGTTGGTTTAATAAATGTGTTGCCTCCAAGAAGTGCGTCTGCGACTCAGCTGAACTCATTACATAAGTAATAGTTCTTCATTTATTTGGTTCTCATACGAGCAAACTCTGGACTGGTTTCAACATTCAGTATCTCATCAGCAGTCAGCCTTACATACCCAATGCTGGATGAACTGCCAGGTGTTTATTGACAAGGGCCCTCTCTGTTAGATATGGGTCCTGTTAGATATGGGTCCGAAAACCTGCGTGTTAAACTATGGGTTCTAGTTTGACACAAAACTATAATGTGCTATAATTGTAAGAATTTGTATGAAACGGGTACACAATTCCAAAATGAAATCACACTGTTTATGTATGCCTACACTTTCTGTTTTGGAACTCACAGCGTCAGCAATTCAGCGCTACTTCGCGGAAGAGGCCGCACAAGTCGGAGACGTCCAACACAACCTGGCGAGGACAACGTTTGAGGCGCTTCCGGACGCAACTCGCCAATGCCCGGCAAAAGACCACAGCCCCATGCCAGCGGCGATATTCACGACCGCGGACATTAGTGGCAGTGAGTTGATTGTTGTTTTGCAAAGCCTCTGCATGTCATTGTGTTGGGCAAGTTTCCCTCCACTCTAGCCCCGATGGTTTATGAACGTCGGTGACAGCAGCCAGTGCAATGCGGTTGTCACTGTTATTTTTGACAATGTTGTACGTCTCTTTAGTTTACCTTTCATGATTGCATCACCTATTTAACAAAGCAGCCGATAATAGCGATGATGCATTGGCGGTGTGCTTGTCAACAATTCGTCAATAATAATGGCCTTGTAAGAAAAATTACATTGAACAAGTGACGTGTCGGGGCAATGGTCCTACTTCGTTGCATAGAGATGTGGACAATGAGGGTTGGAGACTGCACTTTATACATTGTTACCACTTTGTGGGGGAAGTCAACCGTGATTGTATGGGCTCACCCCCACCATAGAAATGTGAAATTTCCACCACTGGCTCAGTGCTGTAAACAGGAGGTGAGCCACCATCTCGGTGCTCATTTGAGCCAGAAATCCCTTTGACTTTGTTTGAATCGCACCTCAAAAGTTTGTGGGTGAGTAGAGTCTATCAGGACGACTCGCTGAAGGCACGAGTGAGTTTTTTTCTTCACAACACAAGCACGCTCTCTCGTTGTCCACGTCCCTCTTCCCAAGTCCTGTCCAGGTGGTGGGGAGTCAAGCGCATCGACTACTGGCTGCATTGCCCCGAAGCCGTGCGGCCCTTCCCAGCCGTGTCCTCAGCCCAGCTCTCGCACACGAGCTACCTGGAGTCCATGGACGTTGCCGCGTTCCTCCTGCAGCAGGTGATGGCTCAAGTCCTGCACGTGAAGTGGTCGACACTTCCCAGAAGGCTGTGCACGTCCACTGGAACTTTACAGAATGGTTCTTCTCCCTATTCTGGAGGAATGTTTGGTAAAAAGGGAATATTCCAAAATTGGACATTCATCTGTAGGTCAGCCTTGAGCACCGTTCACTTTCAATTTGCTTGTGAAACTCAAAAAGGTATTGCGCTGCCATAACAAATTGTATAAATAAATAAAAATCAATGAGGAATCATTATTTTTCAAAACCATTGCAATTTTCCATTTTACCCACACCGTCGTGTTAAAATGGAATTCACCATTGCGGTGAAATTGGATACCAATTACATTTATATGCAAAAATGTACGCTACTACAAAGCGGTAATGCTGTTATTGTATTTTAACAATAAGTTATTACAATTGCACTCTGAATAATGATGTAATTGACAAATAAGAGGCACAGCATAGTCCAGGATGGCATGTCGAATTCACTTTGAGTCTCATTGCAGGTGCTGGGTCCAGGCAGAGTGGGAGCGACTCAGCAGATGTCCCAGGATGGCTCATCGTCACCGTGCAAACCCCTGGAGAAGTGGCTCAAGAAAAGGACTTCTGTCAAAATTCGAGTCTGTATCTCAGTGCCATTGTGCAGAACACAACATTTGCATTTCAATAACGCAGCTTAATAAGACGTCCTCTTTTTAGCTCAAACACAAAGTCCTGCATTCCGCTATGGAAATAGCTAGGACTACATTTAATTTAGCAACTATATACAGTATAAGTAGAGTTGTCACCTGTCTGTCTGTATTTGATCCGGACAGTCCAGGAATTGGCATCTGTGTTCGGGTGGCAGGAATTGATTTATACCGAGATCTGGTGCTATTGCATTGTACATTAATGTAGTATTGTGCAAAGTTTGGACAGAACTAGGCTGAGCAATATGTCTGGGTTTGATCTGTAGAAAAGGTGACAACCCGATAAGAAACATTTGGTGTAATTATTGCTTTTGAGCAGCTTGTCTTAAGCTCAATGTCTGTTTCAGTGCTGTTACAAATGCTGACACTGTACCGTAAATCTTTGCAAGCTCCATTGTTGTTGTGTCGATGTCCCTTCAGAACGTCACGGCGAACCACAGGGCCAACGACGTCATCGTGCTAGAAGGCAGCGCGCAGAGCCTTGCTGGCCGTTTCATGTACGGGACCCTTGACATGGTCACCCTCACTGGGGAGAAGGTGCCGCGTCCACAACCCCCACGTAGCATGCCGTCTCTCGCCTCGCCACGTTACCAAACGCTGACCTCTTTGTACGCTAAACCTTCAACACAAATGCAGATTTATATTGCGTGACTTATTGAAATGTTCGATGCATTCTTTTCTTTGATTGACTTTCAGGTTTACATAAATATTCACTGCCACGCATTGTGTGCGTTGGTGCGTGCTTTGTCTACAGGTTGACATGTTTATCATGACCAAGCCCCCAGAAGGAGAGTGGGTATACTTTGACACTCAGGTGACAAACAGCAGTGGCCGCGTCAGCTACGTCATTCCTGACATTCAGCACATTGGCGTTGGCCTCTATCCCGTCAAGATGGTCGTCAGGTGCAGCGCGAGATGACCTTAATAGTCTGAAGCCGGTTTCTGCTGTGACCTCGATAGTGTGAAGCTTGATAATTGTTTTTTTACCCTTCTATCTGGCAACAAAACTGACACCTTTTTTTACAAGGAGTCATGTTTGCATAGACCACAATACCTGCAGCCATAATGCAAACAAAAAACATAACTCCGATAATATATGCACTGTCCTTGAAGTTTATTGGTCCACACCCGAGACAGCTTTCCTTAGAGCCTAGTCTCACATGGGTTGGACCAGATGACGCCAAAAGGCGCACAACTCAATGATAATGCACCATCAAAGTATGAGAGCTCGGGGTAAGCATTTACACCACTTGAACCTCATTTGCCAGTAAAAATATATGTTGTTGCCAGATAGAAGGGTAAAAAACCAATTATCATATTTTTTACTGGCAAATGAGGTTCCAATGGTGTAAGTGTGAAGCTTGTTTCTGCTGTATCCGAGCTGTGGGTGGAGTGGGGCTGCCACCACCTGGCTGTGTTTCCGGTGGCAGGGACTGATTTGTACTGAGATCTGATACCGGTATTGCCGTATTAAACTTTCTTCCGGCACACTGCAATGTTTGATAGACCTGCGCCGACTGATAAATATGTCTGGGTTAGGTCTGTGGGAATTAATATTAGCCCATATTTTGTATCTATAGTGTTGTAGAGAAGATATGTAACTAAATAAACGTAAGACAATGTGCCTCCTTCATATATCTGCTCTTCCATGGGAATATAAAAGTGTTTTCACGCATCGCATCTCCCACAGTCATAATTCAATCAGTATCGCTTCAAGGAAGCTTAACTTCTGATGGGACACTAACTGAACCAATATTACTGATGGGATGTGTACATTTAACAAATATATTTACGTGCAGGGACAGGTATGTGGAGGAAGTATATTTTTTTCAGCTTTTTCTTCACAGTACCTAATTTAATGTAACTGGTATTCGCCAAACATTCCAATGCCGAAATAAATATCCGCAAGTTACTCAATTGGGATTGCACACAGCAACATCGCCCCCTACTGCGAAAACTTGGCAGGATTCTAAAAAAACAGCCTTGAGACTCGGTCAGGTTTTGCTGCGTAAACAGCAGAGTGAATAATAAATTACGAGTACAATTCCATGAAGATGCCGCGTCTGTAAATCCCACAGAGGAGACCGCACGTTTGCTGACAGCTTCCTGGCTGTGCTTCCCAAGGGGACGGAGTGCGTCGTCTTCAGCATCGATGGCTCATTCGCGGCGAGTGTGTCGCTCACGGGCACTGACCCCAAGGTGCGCCCAGGCGCCATCGACGTCGTGCGGTACGTGCTGCAAGGTCAAAGCACGCACAACGGTGTTTCTTCTTCTTGGTTCTTTCGGTAAAGTCACGTAGAAGGGAAGTAATAAAATAAAAAAATAAAACATAATAAAATAACATAATTATTTTTATTTTATTATGTTTTAAAAATAATAAAAATAAAACATAATAAAATAACATAATTCTTTTATTATGTTTTATTATTATTATTTTATTACTTCCCTTCTACAAGACTTTACCGAAAGAACCAAGAAGATGAATCCCTGCAGTCACGAAAGCTTTAAATCGAAATTTAACGGTGTTTTTTTTACACGCCGTTGCTGAGCACAGCTCTTGTAACTTTCCCAAAGCTCTGATAACCTCCCTCAATTCAAGAAACGCATGAACTCTTATCGATTACTACATTGACTGTGCTGTTTGTTGCTGGCCACTTGATGGTCTGAGTCTTTGGGTTTGTACTCGGCAACTTTGTTTAAAGTAGTTTGTTATATTAGTTGTGACATTTGGTTTATTTTACAGGCACTGGCAGGAGCTGGGCTTTCTGCTTATATACGTGACGGGGAGGCCTGACATGCAGAAGCAGAGAGTGGTGGCATGGTTGGCACAGCACAACTTCCCACACGGCCTCATGTCATTTTGTGATGGACTCGTTCACGACCCACTTCGACACAAGACCAACTTTCTCCGAAGTCTTCAGCAAGAGGTGCACTGTACTTGACCCATGTTCATCGTTACCTTGAGCAGAGCCACACACAAGGGTTTGCCCCCCTGTCTGGGTTTCCCCTGGACAGTCCGGGAATTGGTATCTGTGTTTGGGTGGCAGGAATTCGTTTGTCCTGAAATCTTTTGGAAATGTGTTGAACTTTATTCAAGTCTGCTGCGCCGTTTTTGATGGACCGAGGCTGACTGAGAAATATAACTGGGCTTGGGGTCTGAGAACAAGGGGGCAAACCAATCACAGTCTCACGTCTCACGATGCCACAATCGTAGCACGCACGATGTTGCTTTTTAAAACCTACATTATCACAGGAAGTACACAAAACACAAATAAGCAAAATGCGTGAGGCGACGGCTTGAAAGAAAGAACGCTTTACTCAAGCCAACCCTGGAAAGCCACGTTTGTATTATAAGCGGTCGCAACAACTCACACGCTTAATTAAGATAGAATGTACCCTAAATGTAAAGTTGATAATCTTAAAATTATTTTATGGTCACGAAAGCCTATGTATTAAACAAGTATTTTAGTTGTCATTTATTATATGGCCTGCAAATGTCAGCTAATATTGTTTTTATTTCAGGCTCATATGAGGATCCACACATCATATGGGTCGAGTAAAGACATCGGAGTGTACCACGCTCTGGGGCTGTCTCCATCACAGATATACATCGTGGGACGGCCATCGAAAAAACACCACCTCCAATGTCAGGCGAGCGGCTCAATAATCTACCAGAGGAATGAGTGGTCTAAATGTAAATAAGAAGGTGCCGGTGTTAAACGTATTTGCGCTGTAGCCAATGTTCACTGACACTCACAAAGACATAGACCACCCGTATAGCCTTAACGGACTTTTGTGGTAAGTGCTGTTAGTGAGCACCTATGAAGGCCGGCATGGCACATGAGGGATTGTGTGTCTAGCATTATGCCCGGATGGCTTTGTCTCCCTGGTGGCGATGGAAACACACCGCATCTGGTACTCTTTGGATCCATAGCGCAGCGCGCTAACCTATGCACTGCCGCTCCCCATACTGATACTCACTCGCCCTCTCACAATCATAACACACTCTGATAACTCCCATACACTGCCATTTCCCCTCTGCGGAAATATCTTAGTAGAGGAATTGGAACTGTTCAGAATGTGCCAGCACACGTTTGGAGTTGTGAGAAGTGCCAATACACATTACCACCACTAAATGTAACCTCAAGTAACCCATCAACATTATTGTAAAGGCATCATCATTAATACATTTTAATGTTCATTCCTTAAAAGATACATTTTAAAAGCTTGTTTTCCAAAGTGATAATTATATTAATAATGACCATATTAAGCTATAATTTTTTTTCCCTAATTCAAAAGAGGGAAATATATACGGAAGTACATTATTAAATCATGCGTGAATGTCAATGTTTATTACTGCAATGTGTGGCGCAAAAAATATTTTTACGAGACACAAAAGTTTAAATCACGTGAGCAGTCCTTAAGAATCGTGCCCCTGACGACGGTTGCGGCGTGCAGTACATCTCCGAAGGCTACGCGGCTCACCTGGTGCAGCTGGAGTGCAGCAGCATCTCGCGGCCGGCTCAAGTGAACGCACGCGTGCAGCACCACGCGCAGGCCCTGGACCTGGCAGGCCACGGCACGCGCCCCTCGCGGCCTCTCCCGCCGTGCGAGGCCGTGGGCTGTGCCCACGCTGCGGAGCGCGCGCACAGCCAATCGGAGCCCGAGACGGATCCCGAGCGGAGGCAGCACGGCCAGAGGAGCATGAGTGTGACCGTGTCGCATGTTGAGCACTGAGCAGCCTGGGCCCACGCTCCAGTGGAGCTCTTCCGCCCCCACGCTTCTCGTCCCGTTCGTCAGGTGCCACTGTTTTGAGTTAAAATATTCACCTGGACGATCACTTCAGATGGAACGTCCCGTTTGCAAGGGGTGTCCCCGGCTTTGATTGGTGTGCACGTACACATCGGTACATACACACATACACATATAGATGCATACCCATGAACACTCAGATTTTTTTAATCACAACCAGTAACCATTTTCATAATTGATTACTAGTTTCAAAATTAATTGGAAGTTTAGCAATAAATGGCGTGCGCAAACGTACCAATAGCATGCATCGGTTATTTGCCCTCATTTCTCAGTTAAAACGTAACGGTGCTTGCTAACAGCACTACTGGTGGAAGGGCCTCCACGAAAGGGAGATCTACTCTTCCACGCTGACCAGACCTCTTTAACGTACCCACACTTTTCCCCACCGCACGCTACCTGCCGAACAGAGGCGGTGGGGGGGGGGGATTTAAGAAAACTTGCAGCATCGTTTCCACTGCCATGCCGAGAGATAAAAATTGAAAAGGTGACCTCTGGATTGCAAGTCCTGTGTGCTATCACACCACGATTACTCCCTTCATATTTCAGCTAAAAATGTGTCTATTGCTAGACAGTTCTACACGTTCGACAAACTGGTAGCTAGTTTTGACATTATTTTTTTTTTATGCGGTAACCCGAATATGCACACAACTGCCGCCATTCGCCACGAAGTCACGGTAACGTCACTATGGCGCTTATCTCAAGCCAGGTACAACCTGAGGCCACGTGAAGTGTTGAAGGCTCGCTGACAGGTCACGGGACAGACCCGGGGAAGTACTGTTAGCAAGCTCCAATGAAGGCCAATAGGGCACACAAAGGGGTTGTGTGGACAGTACCATGTCCAGCCACCTGTCTCACCAGTGGTGATGTTTGACCACTACACCAGCTGCTAATTTTAGGTTAAGTGGACCTAGGGGAGGCACAGGACCGGTTCAGATACTCATCACTTATGTTGGCCACGAGTGGGAATCGGACTTGGATCACAGGGTTCGTAGTTACCACAATACCTCTACCCACCACACATAGACTCACATACATGAATACGTATGTCCGCTACACGCATATACACACACACATAGCCAACTCGTAACGGCACGTATAAAAACATTTAATTCCACGCAAGAGTCGTGGTTTGGCAGGATATTCAGTGAGACATCAGTTTTGTGAAACCCAGTGAAACCTCTACATACTATTTTGCATGGCCCCAGCCAAATGGATTGTTGGATGTGGGCACACGTAAATAAACTCGGGAGCACTGACCGTGCTACAAGAAATCACTGACTTTAGACATGGGACGTGAATATGCACGAAAATGCCACATGGGAATGGTATTACAATGTTGCATTGTACCACAAGGTTTTTATTATCAGAATATATCCTTAAAAAAGTGGATTCTTAAGCTCTGACTAATGCCAAACTATTAGAATTATGCTGTTGTGTGGTTGGTTTTGCACACCGATTGGCAAAAAACTCAACAAATTGCCCAACACCAATGGGAGTATTTTGTTCGCATGCTTCGAACACTGTCACTTAGCGCTTTCACAGCCTTATACTTGTTCAACTGCCGCCCGGGAGCCAGACAATTGTGGCGTTCATGGTTATGGGTGAAGCTGGGGCCAGTACTGTGTTTTGGTAAATGGTGTGTGGAATATATTGGAGGGCGGGGGGTTGTATGACCTTGGGCCTAATGTGCAATTCTTTTTCTTTCCTTTCTCAGATGTTGCCACTGCATGGCCGCAGCAGACAATCGTGTGTGTGTGTGTGCGTCGCCCGCGAAACAGAAACACGAGGGGCACCGTTTGCCTGGGTCCCGAGGGGTAAGACGGGCGTTTAAAAACCCAATCACGTGTTTGAATAGGTTGTATTACGATAGATGTCACGGAGAGCAACCACTGAGCTCTAGAGTTGCGAGTAGAAGTTGAAACTGCAAGGACTCGTAAAGTCCCTGCCTTAGCCCAATGGAACTTTCTTGACCATGTTTTAAAAAGAGTGCTTTGACGAATATTGTTGCATGGCTCCAGAATAGTTGTGAAGCAATGAGGTGCTGTCGGCCGCATTCTCTTTGTATAAATCAGCCACGGATATATTTAAGATTTGTTGCCCTGTCCCATTGCAAGATGTTATCGGGTCAGATAGCATTTTGCACAAAAAAAACATGTTCGTTGATGGGAGCAACTGTGTGCCAATGTGCTGCACGTTACTCATAGGGAACTGTTCCAATGTGAAATTGTTGCACTATTTTGTTTTAAAATATAAAATTGATATTCGAGTATAAAGTACTGAACATTTATCCTCCGTAGCAACTCAATGCGATGAGTAAAGTTAGGTTGTATAAAAAATAATGTAGTTTGATTAAAGGACCAAAAGCGATGTTTTGGCCCAACCTTGGCTTGTGAGTTTCGTAACGTTAATATATATTCCGTATATCGGCTGGCATGCACATCCTGTGTATTGATAATTGTAGATGACTTGTGTTTTTAAAGCTTTTGTACAAGTAATAATTCCCCACAATTTACGAACAATACCTAATTCGTTTCCAGTATGACGTACAGTACTGTTGTATGCAATGTATGATGTTCAGAGTATTGTATTTTACACTTCAGTCTGGCCAAATTAATTCCTTGTACAGAATAATGAGCATGCGAATCTCGTGATAATTGAAATGTGAGCAACGTTTGTGTACACTGAGTGCTCCCTCTAGCATTGCCGCAAATCGTTTTGGGGTTTTCTTGACTAAATTGTTATTTTGTGAGGTAGCCTTGGCAGGATAATGGCAGATTTGGTGACAAAATACTGCATCACCGGCTTCTATGGGACCATGACGGAGTTAATGCAGTAACATTGTAGAGTGTTTGGTAATAAATGTGTTGACTGTACTTTTCGTGCAATGTTTTGGTGATATGTGGACATTATTGTTATGCTGTATTCTTAGGTTTTTTCTGGTAAAGTCACGTAGGTAAAAAATTTTAATTAATAAAAGTAAAATGAAATAAAAATCACGACGTTTCGGAGGCAACACAAGCTTCCGTCTTCAGGTGGAACCGTCACAGCCCGACAGCTGTATCAAGTAAATGAGAGATTACAGGAGATACCACTCCGTATATGTAATGGTTGGGGGGGGGGGGGGCAGGAATGGCCCACTCTTTATTATTATGGTCCACTCTTTATTATTATGGTAAGGTGCCGTTTGAGACTATGAATAGGCTGCATAACAAAAGACTGAGCCTTTATTATGGAGAGGTTCGGTTTGTGACTATGCCTAGCCTACATAATAAAAGTGTGAAAAAAGAACGCTAAACCTGGTAGAAAGCTAAACCTGGTGAAACAAAACTGGCTGTCCAATCTAGAATTATGCTGGTTTACCTCAGAAAAGCAGTTGTGTTAAAGTTTCGACGGTTGTTCTGTGTCCAGATGAATTAGCACCGTCGTTTCCCCCCCCCTCACATCCTGACAAACTAGTCAATCGACCCCCAAAAAAATCACTTACTGGTACCACCTGAGGTGGCAAAGTCGAGTAATGATTTTTTTTAATCCTTCATGTGTGTGGGATATATTATGATCTGATAACCTTTGCGGAGTGGCACCTTAGTTGTAGTTACCACGACTTGTAAACACCCATAGCCTGTGACAGGCGTCCGGAACGATGCAATGGGCATTATTACTGACAAACTACCTCGACCTAAGCCAGTTAGGTCACAAGCTGGTCTTTATTGGTGTAAATACACAATGAAAACACAGGATAATAAGGAATACCATAGTCAGGTAAAGAACTACTTGAATATTATAAACATTGACATTCGCATATACTTATTCAATGATACATGTAATCCATATATATCGTTAGTGATGATGGGTATATGTGAAGAAGGTTACATTATTGTTATCACGCTGTGTGTACTTGGTTGGTGTTAACAAGGGTAACCAAGTCCAGAATCACCACACTGTACATCAATGTATACACCACAGGGTTAGCCTGCAGACAGCACTTCCAGATTGGTGCCTGATAGTTGGCTCGTTGATCATGCGTGAAGAGACAGTCTCTACATGGTGGCAGCTGGCTGGACTCGACTTCTCCCCTTTGGTGCAGAAGAGCTGGTAGCGCAGTTCGTTCACCTCACCGGTGCTGCTGTTAGCAACATACATGCGACAGGTGAACTGGTAAATTTTCTGGACCAGCTCATCACTCACATTCCATGGCTGCCCCAGTCAACTAAAGGTATCTTGGCAGGAAGTGTCCTCTCTCACCATCTTCAGGGCATTCAGATTCCCTCAACCGGCGAATGCACTGACGCAGCCTGTGAAGGCGTGTAAGCCAATTAGGCTGTCACAGATGCTGTCTCCTAGTGACCTTGCCAGATTGCTGATATCGACAAACCGTGTGCGGTTCTGTGTCCTTCTGGAAGCCAAAACAAAGCATCATGACATCAGTGTCCTCAGCTGTGATGATAACTGCCTTTAAGCCCATGCAATGCATGCAGGAGCAGATGGGTGTCAGCTTCTTCATGCGTGGAGTGCAGCTCTGCTACTTCCTCACACTCATCTTCTGTCAACTTGTAGCAGGTTTCCTCACAGGCCATGTACAACACCTTGCCATGCAGCATCTCTCTGTATCGTGGGAGTTTCCACTCTTCCACCAGAAACTTGATGAGACTGGTCTTGTTGGAGGGACTGCACAGGAATTGTCTCCACTACTGGACGTGGTGTCTCCCTGCAAGGTTCTTCTACTGGAGAGTGGTGTCTGCACCCCGGTTCAGTCGTTCAGCATCTTTGACCGAAGTCTGTCGGTAGACATCAAAAACAACATCACTCCTCTCACTCTATGCCCCCTCGTGGAGGACCTGGGTCAAGGCTGACTCTGCCACCTGTGCAAAGGTTTTGTTGTACGCTATTAATTTTTTGGACCAGGCTCATCCCATCAATGATGGAAGTAGATGGGGCTGGGATGCCTTCTGCAGGAGACACATTCTTTTCAAGCTCTCTGGCAAGTGCAGCCTTGTTTGTTTTTCGTAGGGACCCATCGGCATTTGCCAGTGCCCATGGCAGTGGGCCCAATGGGTGGGCAAGGACATCGTTCATATTCACCTTCCTGCTTTCAGCCACCAGGATCATGTGGCTGAACAGGTTTCTATCTGCCTTCAGAACCACATCCTGTGCTTTCTTTCCATGTGCTGTTTTTGTGCTGATATTGGAGAATGTCTTCAGACTTTGCTTGGTCATCTTGTCGTGGAATTTCACAGATGGTGGGTCCTCAGCTAACCTTGTTTGCTTGAATACCTGGTAGGCCTCTTCTCCTATCTCAAGAGCTGTCAATAACTAATTGGTTGATCATCTCCTGAGGCTTTTGTCAAAATATTGTTCTTTCAGTTAATTATATTAAAATACACTTGACACACGTTAAAAAAGATTTTTGGCTATTTAGATATAATACCCCGTAAAATGAAAATGACAAAAGATATATATAAAAAATAATCCCTCTGAACATTTCTAGCTATTCCAAGTAGAAAGCAGTATGTAGAATTACGTGGCTTTACCTATTAACACATTCCTGCGGAGGGAGCTGGTAGGAACGTTGGGTTGCTCGGTCAATGGCCAGGGTCAACAGCGGTGTGGTGTATTCCGCAAATATGGCCGACTGTGAGAACAAGCCGGCGTGAGTAGGTTAAACGTTGAGTTTTATAAGGGCACCACGGGGTGACAAGCAGCTCCCCACCCAGCCCCACCCCTCCCACCCCCCCACCCAGCCCCTCCCCACCCCACCCAGCCCCTACCTGCACGACGGACACAATAATCCCCTGTGGGCTGGTGTAACCAGGAGGTTTCTAACAGTATGAAACATGAGTTGTCAAACTCGGCAATTTAATTTTGAGAAAATCGCAATGGCAGTCCTGGCACTGTGATGCTCGTAGCAATGAGATTTGAGAGTTCTACTTGTGTTCCCCCTGTTATTGCCATGACAGCACAGTCAATAGCCATATGTGACTAAGCTAGACATCTGCTCCAGAGAATGAGCTTTTCAATGATATGCAATTATTAAAATGCAGAGACAAATTGCGATGAAAGATGCAAAATAACGCGAATTTAAAGCTTTCTTTACTTGGTGAAGTTTGTATAAAATCGTAAAAGCTAACTTTATAAAATAGAAATAGTTTTTATGATTTTTTATCAATTATTACCAATAACAGTTAATGGTAATAATTGTGTGCATGTTATGAAAGTTCACAATTTATAGAAGCAAAACAGAAAATAGATACTCGGACAGTACAATCCGCAAATCTGTCTACCCAGCCATTGGGAGACAACCTGAGGATCCAACCCAAACCATCACTTTACCGTACATAGCAGGGGTTAGAAAAAAGATTTCCAAAATCTTAAACACAAGATCCAGGTTCGTTTCAACACAGTACACAAAATCCGTGATTTAATCCCATCTGTAAAGGATGTGATTCCTGACATGCAATGCCCTGGTGTCTACAAACTGAGCTGTGGTTGCGGCAGCAGTTACATTGGGGAAACGAAACGACATGTCTCGGACCGCGTTTGTGAACACAAGGCAGATCTGAAACACGGTAGGACCAATACCTCTGCCGTTGCTGATCATTGTTTTGACGCTGTGGGCTCACACGAAATTGATTTTTCCAAGACGGAGGTACTCTGCAAACCTACTGGCTACCTTCAGAGATTTGTTCATGAAGTCATCCAGATATATAAACAGACTTCAACCGAGAAGGTGGGTACAAACGGAGCAATCATTGGAAGGACGTTATTAACTAGGTAAAGTCTTAACCGACTGTGATGTTTCCATCCTACCTGCCTATGTCAGCTGTTATTTCCGACTCTCTGAGTACATCACCAGGTTGAATATCTGAGGCGGCCCAGCCACAGGAGGATCCCCGCCACCTCTGGTGGCTGGGACCGTCTCACATCGACATGCTAATCTCTCATTTACATGCAAGTTCCTTCTCTAGCTCCGCCCACTCACCCCTGGGTTGAGCCCACTAAAATCCTATATAGACTCTTGTTGCAACAGCTCTTTCTCCTATGTCAGCAGTTCTCCTGCTGTATCTGCTCCACCTGATAACGGTTGCTTGTGTTGCAATCGAAACAGTCGCGATTTATTTAATTTTATACCTACGTGACTTTTACCGAAAGAACCAAAGGATATGAAGTTCAGCAATGGTTTACAAAGACTATGTGCCGTAACCTTCACCCCAATGTGCTGCTTGGTGGAATGAGAGTTTAACACGTAAGCTTTCGCGACCAATCCATAGTTTTTTTTTAGGTTAGATCGCGTAAATGTGTTGTTAAACCCACCACCACCCGACACGGCTAATTTATATTTACGCCAACCCAAAAAAAGCCTCTTATAGGTGGAATGTTCCTTGCGCTCACAAGAACATACATCCACAATGCAATGTGGCAGCAGCATTTTATTTTACTTACAATGAGTTTATTTCGCCATACGTTTTGAATATTGAAGAGGTCCGTTTTTAATTACTATTTGGTAACTATTAACGTCAATAAAAACTGGTCATCAGAAAACATGTTTAAAATTAAATTCTCATCAGGCCGCATGGTGTTATGTGCAGCCTCCAACCCTTATCCAATCTATTTCTCTGGCCTCTCTATGGGCTATGAAGGGCAATTGCCCAAAATGTCACCAATATATTTATTCTTATAACGCAGTGTTATTGACGAAATGTGTACTTGGGCGCCACTGCTAATGTAGCATCAACAAATAATTTGTTCCAGAGTTGGTAATATAGAAGCCATCTGCTCATGATGTACATGCAAAGTGTTAACACCTCCTGCGGGCACATGATACGTGTTCATTTGATTGAAAAACTAAAATTGCGTTTTGAAGCAAATGCCTCCATTT